TTAATAATAATAATAATAATAATGATAGTAATAATAATAATAAGGAAATTAATAATAACAATAATTAATATTTATTCCCAATTAATCCACGATAAAATGGGGTATTACACCTGACGTTTCGTATACTCCTGAGCTGTGGTGCGGTTCTTGATGAGGTCAGCCTGCTTAAGCTCATTAAAATTAATACATCGCATCTGAGTCTTGTCTGGTCCCCACGTATCGTCGTGCAATGTGTAGGCCATAGGATCGATATCGAAATGTTTGGCGAGTGCGGTAACAAAATGACCAAGTGCCGGTGCTCCATGCCGATTTAGTGCAATCTCTTCTAAGGTGTTCTGCAGGAATGTCATAGAGCACACTCGCACACCCGCCCTCATCGCCCATAGGAGAAACAGCTCGACCTCACTGACTTTGTTTGCTTCTTTTTTCCCAGAAATGTTATAACAGATAAACCTGTGCACAACGGCAGTGGCCAGGTCCTGAATAAGGCCGTTGGACATGCCGGCGGAATCCCAAGTCGTATGCGGGGAAAGCTCGACCCAACTCCTCTTAGCATCGAACTCGATGGCCTTGCTTCGCATCCCAGCTATGGTGAACCCGCAAACATTCTTCATCACGGCATTGTCCACTGTCAAGTCCTTCCCCTTTAGCCGACAAGTGAAGAATTCGTTCCCGTCGGCGAGAACAAATGAGCTATAGAACTCAAGCATGAGGCTTCGATACGATATCTCCTCGATCTTGGCGTACTCGGTAAGGTTGAGGACCTTAAGGTACTTCATCACATCCTCAAGAATACCTAGGTCGTTCAGGAGGTCCCAATCCACTGCTTTTGGCCTTACCACCTCTTTTTGCGAGAGGCGGGCATAAATTTCACCCTCCTTTCTCGAATAAATTGGGAAGAGAGCACCGTATTGGTCCGAGATATCATCCCGTTGACCTTCCGGAAGGGCATCACGGGACGAGGATGATGTCGCTTTTCGCTTCTTGGCCGCCTCTTGGGTGGTTTTCTTCTTGCCCATGTGAAAAGTCTCTGGGGCAATTTATCGAACACTTAGCACGCAAAGGTTTGAAGTTGGATCTTTTGTAACAATGAACAATGGTGGACTCAATATG